ACTGCAGAATTGCTAACGCGAGGGATGATAAGCGAAACTTCAACGCGAATATGCCGTGGTTTCCTCGCGAGTTGCCTTTACACGCACATTATGAGACGACACCGAAGAATACGGGGGAATATACGTACATGCATATACCTTTTATCGCAATTATCGCAATCACGTTCCCGGATCGCCTGCTCATCGTTGCCTATCAAAGGCCTATCCCAAGTACAACCGAAGGGAGATCCCAATATATCCAACTTTTCTCCCGATACCCTGTGCCTATCGCAGCTAACGATCTTAATTTCTCAACGTATCTTCGAGACGCGAGACTTCGAAACCAGCGAGACGAGTTTATTGTAATGAAGCTCGTCACCCGATATTTTTAACTGACAATTAGACAAATAGGATACAAATTTATCTAATATCGAAAGAAGTGCGGAGAAATAATATACATGTATATAGAAACAATGAGATAGTTAATTCACAAGTAAAGCGAGTGTACCTCGCTGGAACCATCGGACGCCACCACTTCACTAATTACGGACTAACCACTTTGTCAAAATTCGTTGAACCCTCAAATGAAAACCGACATGCTCGACCCGCACTTTCCGGCAATTGTGAAAAATCGACAACAACCGATCACTAATGGCGAGATGGAAGGGACGACGGATGAAATCAGACAAAACTCCTGCCGCGTTGACAAGAGAGAAAGACGAACGCGAAGAGACAGAGAAAGAAACCCGAAATCCATTCACTTTATTTAAGGATACGCTGCGCAAAAAAAACTTGTGTGCCGCGAACGCGAAATTACTTATATTTGGGAATTTCCTTGTTTTTTTGCGCTTCACTTGCGCGTTTCTCAGACAAATTATCTTACGATAATTTCAGAATCAATATTATATAGAGTTGAGATACCTAACGGACCCAACGAAGATATCTAAGGCTTAAAGAGAGAGCATCGCTAAAAAAAAAACCTCTGCCGCGTATCTCGTCGGAGCTAGGCATTCGGAAAAATTGTCAAAAGTGGCCGCGTGGCCACCTGGTCGGACCGGCTGTATCTCTGTCTTCGTATTATAGCCACCCGCTCGCTCGCTCGTTCGCTCGCCGAGCGCGCGA